CGGGCTCCTGATTCCAGGCCTGCCGCACACGAGCCCGCCACAATTCGCGCTGACCATGCCGCGCGCGCCCTCCCGCGGATACCTCGCTGATTCCAGCCCGTCCAGGGCTCTCAGCCCAGCGCGAACACTGCGCATGTGCCGGGCCTGGGAGGAGAACTGCTCCGCCGTTACCAGTGACGTCATGTAAACTTGCCATTTTACAAATGGTGTCGCGCTGCTTTCGAATTCGGTGGTCACGTCCTTGTACAGTGCCCCATTTGGGAAAAGTAACGAGTGGTGCGTCCGGTTGGGGGAGGAGCGCCGGCGCCATTTTTTTAGAAACTATAGAATGAAGAGAACGGTACATGATTCTGTTTAATCAGTGCGATCTTGAACGCTGTGAGGTGACTTGATCGCCAGGCTTACGGCAACAGCCAAGGTTCTGTGTATTGGCGTGTGCTTGCCTCTGGCCTGATCTGATCATGTGACTCGTGTGGTTGTTATGGAAACCGGACGCCGGAATCCGTTCTTGTGTGTGTGGTCTCTGCCCCAAGTGTGTGAGGACGTATGGCATACGAAACAAGGTAGGGCGCTGACAGTTCTGTATCTGCGATGTGATTTCATGTGTCATTTCAGACAGGGCCGAGGTAATGGACATTGTAAACAGTACATTGAGTTTGAAGTGATCACTTGTAGCCAGAAGTTTACATTTCCATGAGAGGGTTGTAAACACAGAGGGCCCATGTCTAGGATGTACAAGGAAATAATAATCTGTTAGTTTTGGGTATAGTGAGGTTTCCATCCTCTGTCAGGTTGTATCGCTGTATAGTACAGGGATTGGGATCCTTAGTGAGCACCCTGAAACTCATGAGATGTGCTATCACCCTAGCCGAGGGGAAGTGGCCTGAACCCAGCATCTAAGAAGTATTTTTCACTAGCTATTTTGTTACTTGGAGCTGATCTCCAGGTATACAGCTAAATACACAGATACAATACATCTATGGGAGCAGGTTTACCTGCCAAAGTATTTGTATTGTGTTTATCCAGTCCTGACATTCACATAGCCCAGGATACCTGATAATGTAATGTTTTACAGGACCTATCTCTCCCCCTGCCCGCGAGTGGACAGCTCAGCACACTGATGAGCTCCGCTTTCTGTCACTATGCTCTCATCTTCTATCAACATGCTCCGTAGCACATGAACAATGCTGTAAAACTGACTTCTTGTGTTCTCTCCCTCCCAGTCTAAAGCTCTGCTATACAGGGGACTTTAACAAGTTCACTTCATGTACTTACACTTTCTTCCAGTACCCCACCCCCCAAACAGAGTTAGCTTTAAAAATCCTTTAAAAATAAATCCCACCCATCGCAGAAGTGCTTTCTCAAGGGATTTGGAGCTCTCCACTTTCCCAGGTGGCAGAGGTGATGTGATTTGCTTCAGAAGCTAGGGATAGTTAAAGTCACAAAACTTTGGACAGGAGTGTGCTGCGGAGACAAAGGTAAGTTTTTTTTTTAGGCTTTTTTGGTAACTTTTTTTTTTTTTTTGCATAGATCTACTGCTTGAGAGCAGTAGATACATGCAAAAAACCCCAGGGGTTTAATTATACTTTAACTATTTTTAGTTCTTTTGTCACAGCTTCATTTTTTTACAGCTAATTGTGTTTGGGAGGTGGAATACTGGCAGTAAAGTCTGCTTTAGGCCTCATTCACACAAGAAAAGGCCGGCACGTACAGCTCCGTGCATGGCCGTATCGGGCAGCTCCCAGGAAGGACAGGTGCTGCGTGGGATTAGTACGCAGTCCCCCGTCCTTTTCTATGGGGCTACACGGCTCCCTACGCTCACCCCAAGGGCAGGTCCGTACGGGTGTCGGTGTCCCTGCTCGGACGCAGACAGGATCCAACCTGTCAGCGTACGAGTACGGACACCCGCACAGACGTGCAGGGCGGGTGAGCGTAGGGCGGCATGGAGCTGTACGTGCCGGCCGTTTCTTGTGTGAATGAGGCCTTAATGAGCGCAGAGCTGCAATCATTTGGAAGATATGTTCAGAAGATTCTCATGTGTTCTTTTAAAACTGAATCCCAGGCGACCACACATTTCCTGGTCAAAAAGTAGAACTTGGATGGGCAGGGTTGCAGATTTTTCCATCTTATTCAGCCCTGATTACAGCACTTTCTGCCTACCTCTAGCCCACACACATCATCTCCAGCCCACCACCAAGGGAAAAACGCACGTGATCCTAATTCCAATCACTTTATTATAAGCTGTTTTATTTTCCCATTTACACATCTGTGACTTGGCTTTTTATATTCTGGTTAATTGTTTGCTTTTTGAAAAAAACGTAGGTAAATATTGTTGGAATTGAAAACTGTAAGTAGCCCCCCTCCAGAAGGAAGGACAGTGTCAGCACCAATTCAGAGATGATTTGAGGATCTACAGCTGAGTGATACACAAATAAAATAAATTTGTGTTTAATAGTTGCGGTACTTGAATTAATTTGTAAGATTTAACTCCTGAGTTTAGTGTCACTTTGAATGCAAGTTTAATAAATCCAAATCTGATGAAAATAGTTTATTCCGAAATAAGAATACATGTTCTGTGAATACATCTTTTAAATCTGCAGTCATTAGCACACTTTCTTCAATCAGCTGTTACCTGTGTAATTTATTCCTCAGGGAGTTGATGTAAAGAAGCAAAAACCAAGGAAACCAACCCATGCCACTCCTGTGATCTGTGGATTTTCACATGCTTACAAGAACCTCTCCTGGTAACAAGATGGAGTCTTCCTTTCCAGCTGTGTTCCCCCAAACAAGTGAAACCTTTACTGTCCCTTTGACAGAGACAGAGCTTCATAAACTTTTAATTGATGAAAAAATGCGATGTGAAGACCACAAGTCCAACTATCAGACTCTGAAAGCTGAGCACACCAGGTACTGTATCATAATCCTTCTGTCACAGTGTTACTGGGTTTACCATGCTGTATGTGTAAGTGATGCCACTCTTGTGTTCTATATCTATAGCTGCTCTGACATATGTAATTATATTTATTTTCTTCTTTGAAGAGTGGAAATGAGGACAATTAGCTTTGATCAATTTCCTGCAATTTGAACAATCAAAGCAGTTCTGTGACTCATTCATGTTTCTGTGTTTTTTTTCTGTAGAAGGCTATACATGATCACATTGCAGCAAGACATTTGATAACTGTTCATTCTTGTTATGATTACTGGGGCTGTACACCTTTTAATCTGAGCAATTCTCCTGATTGCTTCTATGCCAAACAGATCACACATATCTAGCCTGCTGAGGAATTACAGCGACTGAGGCTTCATTTTTTTTTTCTTATGTGCTTCTGAATTTTTCTTTGTTGATCCTTAAAGGGCCTTTGGGAAAAAACACATACAACAAAGAATGAGAAAGCTCAAGAAAATGCATGAAAGGAACACAAATGAGCCATTTTATTTTTCATGATGCATGTGGAGAAATGATCAGAGTTAGGCAGAATTCGATGTGCTGAACAATACCAAAAGGAAAGCTAGCATAGTATACCATAGGGACACCAGACGTCCGTTTAGCCAAATTGTTGTAGAGCATGGGAAGTCGGAAAGAGTGTCAGTAGTGCTTGGAACATTCTTAACCCCTTCATGACTGAGGCCTTTTTTTCATTTTTTGTACCCATGTTATATTCCACATTTTAGGCCTGAAAATTACTTAAAACCCCCCAACATTATATATTTTCTGAATGCCAAGACCCTATAGAATAAAATGGTGGTAGTTGCAAATTTTTATGTTGCGCAATATTAGCGCAACTTTACCCATATCTTCAAAATAATTACAAATACACCTTTTTAGAAATGTTTAGTAATGGCAATCTACAAACATAAACCTATAGATCATTGCCTTATTTTTCTTTTCTTCCCCATTCTTCTCACTGTGACAATTTTTACTAAGAGCAGATTCATATATCTCCCTTTACTTCCTGGAACTCTGGCACATGTGACCATGTACATCATCTCAGGGGAGAAACTGCCTTTCCTTGAGATTTCCCAGCAATGCTCTGCTGGCGTAACCTTCCCAGGATCCACATTACATAATTTGTGCCAATGAGAACCAGGAAGTAGTAACAAGAAATTGTAAGTAAAATGAAATCTGTTTAATTTATGAATGTTGTATGATTTTATATCAGCACGTAGAGCTCAATGCTGATGTGATTTTTAGTGAAAGGGGGTAAAGGTCCGCTTTAAGGATGTAGCCAAAAACCCCAGCTCCCAGTGGTGGAACAATAGTTGAGCCTGAGGATGCAGTTGAGTAATCCAGTACAAAATATGTTGTCCTAGCTATGCAGCTCTATATATTTTCGAGCCCATTATACAGGAGAGATGTTTTTCAATGAGAAAAGGGTTGTCATTTGGAATCCATAGCTATAATGGAATTACCACTAGGTATGCATCGAAATTAAATTTTTAGATAGAAACCAAAAAAAACAAACATTTCAGGCTGAAACCAAAAAGCACTTCTTTTTTTTTTTCCTTTTTTCCAACCTTTTAAAAATGTTTTTCCTTAAATGTAATGATTTATAATTTTTTTTCTTTTACCTTACCGTTGAGGGCTTTGTGGAAATATCAGGGGTCTAGACCCCTGATATTTCCTTTTAAAATAGAACAAAAGATTGAGGACACATTTTTCTATTTTAAAATAGAGTCCTAAATTTCTGTACTGAGCGTTCCTGTCCATTCATAAACTGTAAAAATAGTATGAGTTACTATGTCCACAATCTTGAATAAACATGAAGTGATGTAGAGCACTTCCTGTTCATTCATAACTGGAACACATTAAATATACTACAGTATGTCCTCAATTATTTACAAGTTAGTTATGGTGGTGGTCAATCCATGTGTGAAAATGATGTCCCATGCACCCTGAACCACTCTTTCACAATTTGAGCCTGATGAATCCTGGCATTGTCATCTTGGAAATGCCCAATGTGCCGTCAGGGAAGAAAAAAATCCATTAACCTCCTTGACGGTAATCCCGAGTGTGGCTCGGGGTTAATTTTCAGTAGCATAAGCGGTAACCCAGAGCCAAACTCTTGTCCCTTGAGTCGCGCTGTGTGCTCCGGCCGTCTGGGTTACGTCCCTTCGGGGGTCGGATCCGGTGGGAATTTTAAAAGTAAATATAACAAAAAAATATAACAAAAAAATTAAATAATCAGACCGCCAGGGAGGTTAATGGAAAAACCTGGTCATTCAGTATATATAGCTAGGCAGCTGAGCTGATTTTTTGAATGAACACATAGCTTTGCTGAACCTATGACCAACTGAAGCAACCCCAGATCATTAAAAAACTAAATCCAGGTGGTGACTTTTTTGGCCAGGCAGTGTATATGCTGTTTTTGTATACAAAATAAGCACAAAGGGGGTGCCTTTCCTGGTGCAGGTCAATTTTATTTCAGTAAACATAGAGTAAAAAAACAAATAGTACTCACAAACATGAGTGTCACACAGCCATGAAATAAGAGCTGACGGGCAGTAAGATGTCCACTAGGTGATTCCTGTGTGTAGTGACGTTAACGCGTTTCCGGGGCACGCCCCCTTCATCAGAACATCTTTTTTGTATACAGTATAATGATCACATAAAACATGCTGTATATTACCTAATGATAACATATAACTGTAAATATGTTGCATCAGCTATAAAAAGTGCATATAGTGGCTGTAATTGTGATTTTAAATAACTTAGATCATCTCCCTGTTCAAGATGGTAACAAAAATACTACAAATATTGATTGCAGGTTGCAAGCTGATTATATAAAGTCTCAAAATGAATGTAAGCAATTTGCTGCTGAGATTCGGAGCATGCATGAAAAATATAAACTTCTACTGGAGGAACTGCGCGGAGAGCTTTTAGAAAAAACAAGTGAAATGGAGGAGCTAAAGCTACAAGTAAGATCTCTGCACAACATAAAATGGCTGATTTGTGTTCCTTCCATGCATTTTCATGTGTGTCAGTGTTTTCTCCCACATGAATTAAAAGACGTTTATAAAAGCACCTGCAAGATCGCTGGTCTTCGGAGACTTCCTAAATCTTGGAGTGCTCGCTGTTGCTGTCATAACAACAAAATGCATCAGTCTGTAGAGTATTTGTGTAGCCACACCCCGCTTGAATGAAAGTGACAATTTTAATGTGTAGAATAATACATCTTGCTCATTTTAATGAAACTGAAAATGTCAGTGTAAGCTCAACGAACTTGCTTAACTGCAAAAAGAAAAAATGTAGATGCTTTGCTAGTTTCCTAAGCCTCCATTAGCATTTTTCTGCATCTACATGCAAAACAATACATTCTTATGGGGCTCGTTTACACCTGCGTGTTCGCACACAAAAAAAAATGCGGAACGCGAGAAAAAGTACATGCGCAATTTTCTGGGTAATTACACTGCGTTCTGTCCCTTCAGAGACTATGGTTGTAACCGCAAACACGTCTATTAAAAATTGCACGTTTTTGTGCATGCGTGCTATGGATGCAACAATACCATTTTTTTTTCACAAGTACTTGCTAATACCAATTACCAACACTTTTTCTTCAAGGGACGTGTGACATTTTTTCTAAAACAATACAGGCTAATGATTTTAGGGCAGTTTCTTTATAATTATGAAGACCTGTAACTTAATCTACGATTATACAGCATTGGAGAACGGCAACCAGGAATCATGGATTGCTGATATTTGTAGTCCTCTATAGCCGGTTTCCATTCTCTATTGCATTTGATTAGCAGTGTGACACACACCAATAAGAGAAGAATAATAGGCAACTGTAGTATAAAAGTTTACTTACTGTACATGTTCACAGGAGGGTATAGCAGGTTCCAGAAGGGCTGTGAGGGTCACTCAGAAGTCTGGCAGTGTGTCTGTGTGCAGATAGTTGCATAGTTACATAGTATTTGAGGTTGAATAAAGACATAAGTCCATCAAGTCCAACCTATTGCGTGTATGCATTTATGAGCTGGTGTGTGCGTGTATATGAGTCCATGTGTGATTTTTCTCTTAGCAATACCTGTACCCCTGTATGTTATGGTCTCCAAGGAACTCGTCCAGGAGTCTCTTGAATGATTCAACACTCTTAGCTGAAATCACTTCCTGCGGCAGCGAGTTCCAGACCTTAACCACTCTGACTGTGAAGAACCCCTTTTTTGGTTGTGCCCTCAGGTCTTTGTTATGGAGCTGACCGTAACTGCTTTTTGGTCTCACCACGGCTGCATGCGGGGCTCTCTAGGGCTGTGTTTGCATCTCAACAGGGCTGCATGTGGGGTTCTCCAGGTTTGTACCGACTATTGCCGTACATCGGGCTCTCCATGTACTCGTGGAAATGCTCTATATCGCCCCCTAGCGCGTACAAGTGTGCTAAATTCCAAACGCGCAGGTGTGAATGGAGTCTTAATCAAACATGTCACACTTTTGTTTGTGTTATTCCTTGTGTCCCTTGGCCAGTTTTAAGTACGTTTTAGTAATTGCATGGTTATGTCCCTGACATGTCACAATATACAAGAGAAGATATAATTTAAAAATAAATTACTTATAATTGAAACACCATCTTCAAATTTAAGTGACCCTAAACTCGGGCGTTAAATCTTAAAAATGTATTCAGGTACTTTAAAGTAGAATTAAACCTTGGGGGTGATTTTTTTTTTTGGCATATCTCTACTGCTAGCAAGCAGTAGATGTATGCAAAAATATATATATAAAAAAAATCTTACCAAATAGGTAATTACTTACCTGTGTCTTTGCTCCCGTCTGAAGATCTGAAGATTTTTGAGCGGCCGTGAAGGATCATTGGGAGATCTTCGGCCGGGAGAAGAGGAGAGACACAGTGGAGATGAATGCTATGCGAATAAGAATATTACCAAATGTAAAATAGGTGCTATCCCAATTTGGCTGCAAAAGTGGAAATACACTTTAGGTATTTGGACCAGCTTTTCTCCTCCATTTTACCCCAAAGGAACCCTTGAATTAATTTTCAGGTGTAGAGGAACCCCTGTTGACGACAATTTATCGGTGTGAAAAATTGTATCTTACGTTAGTGGTCAGTGAGAAGAGTGCCACCATTAAAGGCCGCTAAAAAGAGCATTTGTGTCATGCTGCTTGTTCTTTCAAGTGGCATTAGCCCCAGAACTATGTAAGCATAATCAAGTAAAAGATCAATCCCACTTCCAAGTTCAAGGAACCTCTGGAAGAACCATACGGTTTCACAGAACCCTGGTTGATAATGGCTGATTTGAACTATAAAGACACAATCTTATAAATCCTAAAGCAGAACTGTAGTCAAAAAAGATCATCCCTTCTACTCTGCACACCTCATTCCTTAAAGTTGTAAAAGGCAGAATAAGGAATAACATACCCTGGCAACCAATTACTTGCCAATTACTTGACCAAATACAGGTGAAACTTGAATAATTAGAATATCGTGCAAAAGTAATTGCAGTAAGTGCTGCAAAAGGGGCCCAAACCAAGTACTGAGTACATATGCATGCTTGTACTTTTCAGAGGTCCGATATTGTTCTATGTACAATCCTTGTTTTATTGATTGCATGTAATAATCTACTTTTTTGAGGTTGTGGATTTGGGGTTCTTGGGGTTTTCATGAGCTGTAAGCCATAATCATCACAATTATGACAAATCACGGCTTGAACTATTTTGCTTTGCATGTAATGAGTCTATCTCATATATTCGTTTCACCTTTTAAGTTGCATTAGTGAAATAAATGAACTTTGCACGATATTCTAATTATTCGAGTTTCACCTCTACATTGGTCACGGAATCGCTATGGAAGGATTTGATCAGGGAAGGTCAGAGCTCGGTAAGGTTGGCATGTAGTGTGTAATAGGGAGATGAGAGCAGGAAGCGGTAGACTGTATGGTAAAAGTTAGAGATTTGGTTTCTTTTTCTCTTAATATCACGTCCTGGGTTTTAGGGTCAGTTAGGCACTTTGCATGAAAACAAAGTCTGCATGGAGGCACTGGGAAAAGCCTGCACTATCTTGCTGATAGTGTTTGCCTCTTGCTGCAATGTCTACAGGTTTGCTTTAAATACTTTATCGATTAAAAACTTTCTGTATTTAGGAGAACAACTCCTTAAGAAATGCTGTAAACAATCCTTGTTTTCTCTTTTAGTTCACTGAAGGACACAACAGATATCTTGATAATTTTCAATGGGTTATACTGCCACTCGCAGGAGTAGAACACTAGGCACAAAAAAGAAGCTTGGCTCTGGGGGCGGCTCCTGCTGGCCACACCCCCATCCAAGGTTTGGAAAAAATGTATGTATATATATATCATGCATGCATACTTCGGAGCCAAACATTACTGCTATATGCTCATGCTAATTTTAAAGCATTGGAGGTTGGTTGCATGCGGCAACCAGTTACACTCCATGTTTTCTCATTTTTGGAAGATTACATGGAGAACGCTAATACCTGATTGGTTGCTGCCAATCAAAGCCATGATTTTATTTTTCTATTTGGTTAAATAACATTTTTATATTTTAGGTGCTGTCACCTCACAAACTAGAACTATTAAAAATTCAAATACAGCAAGAAATCGAAGCTCCAGTGCGACAACACTGTCAAAAACTGGTTGAAGTAAGTTTGTCTTTACTTTTTGGTCTCTGTCTGAGTTGCCTACTGTCAGTAGATTCCCAGTCTCAAATGAACAAATCTAATAGAAAAGGCTTGGTTGGTATGAAGATAGACAGATAACATTAGTCATCTTTTTTGTACAGCATTTTTTACTGCATTCAATACATAATCGGTTTTTCATTTTATTGAAGCCCATTTATGAATCCCAAAAATTATAAGAATCAAGGTGGAGTCTGTGCAGAGGTCTAACATGGCTCCCTGCTTTATTATCACTACAGCGCTGCCATCAGGTCCCAATCCCCAATCAAGACTCTCTTGCTGAACCTAGAGGAGCATTTGAAAAAATTAAGAACAGTGCGACAATCAACCCTGAAGGTGCCCATACACCTTGCGATTTATCGTACGATAATCGCAAGGTGTATGGAAGGCGTGCGGCCGTTTCTACTGTACGGTCGCACGTCTTTTGTCTTACGAGCATGTTTGAAAACCCGCCGAGAATAGTACGATTGTCGGCGGGTTTGTGGCATGCTCGTAAGACAAATGCCAAACGGGCCGTTGTGCGCTAGCGCACACTGCCCGTTCAGCATTGCAGTCATCGGAAGTGATCACAAGTACGATCTGCCTGTCCAAGATGGTCAGATCGTACGTTTTTTTCATTACCTTACAACCATCGCAAGACAAAAAGTCTTGCGATGTTTCTAAGGTCTATGGCCAGCTTTAGGGGCATATTTCTAAAGCAGGTAATCTGATATTCATCAAACATTCACGGCAGCTGAATCTTTCTGGGGCAGGTGTTTTGAATGACTTTGATTGAATCACTGCCAGTTATTGTTTGGTGAAGGTCACAATCACTGCTTGGGCACACACCTTACAACCATCGCAAGACTTTTGTCTTGCGATGGTTGTAAGATAATTTAAAAAACGTACGATTTGCCTATCTTGGACAGGCAGATCGTACTTGCGATCGCAAGCCCGCCCCACGGAGGGGCGGGCTTCCGATGACCGCAATGCTGAACGGGCAGTGTGCACTTGCGCACACCGGCCCATGCGGCTTTTATCTTGCGAACATGCCACAAACCAGCCGAACATCGTACGATGTTCGGCTGCTTTTCGAACATGTTCCTAAGATAAGTCGTGCGACCTTACAGTAGCAGAGGTCGCACGTCTCCCACACACCTTACGATAATCGTACGATCGCGGGATTTCCCACGATTATCATAAGGTGTGTGGGCACCTTTTTTATAGATATGCCTCCTTCTGTTTATTCCACCCTGACTTGATTTCTATCATTTTACGGAAGCTAGAGTTGGGCTTTAAACATTTCTTTGTATCTTGAAATGTCTGATTTCAAGCTGCTAGATATCTTCTGAGTCCCAGCTCAACAACAGGCAAGGTGTCTGTTGCCTATCTTCGGTAGGGCCCAGTAGTTTTTAAATGTTAAAATTACCTAATAAGCTTGGGTTTCAATACGTGTTGCCATAAAGTCGTTGTCATATCTTTATTCAGGTTATGATTTTGGGAATGGGGTGGAGTGGACCATCGAGACCTGATCAGTTACACTGTGAGAGACTCTCACTACTTGTCCTTTTAGTGAACATGGAGGTTGTCTGGCTAAGATCATTACACATTGGCTACTTTCAACCATGTATTCACTGCTCTGCTGTCTTACTAAAAATATTTTGCTGTGTCATGGATGCTCAGTGCATTACATATCTGTTTGCATTATACAGATATTATAAATATAATTAAAGATGATCTAAAACATCAGTTGTGAATTTTCAAAAAAATTGCATTGAAAGCTGTGATCCTTTTCTCCAAATCCATATACAGGTGAAATTCGAATAATTAGAATATCGTGCAAAGTTCATTTATTTCACTAATGCAACTTAAAAGGTGAAACTAATATATGAGATAGACTCATTACATGCAAAGCAAGATAATTCAAGCCGTGATTTGTCATAATTGTGATGATTATGGCTTACAGCTCATGAAAACCCCAAGAACCCCAAATCCACAACCTCAAAAAATTAGAATATTACATGCAATCAATAAAACAAGGATTGTATATAGAACAATATCGGACCTCTGAAAAGTACAAGCATGCATATGTACTCAGTACTTGGTTTGGGCCCCTTTTGCAGCACTTACTGCAATTACTTTTGCACGATATTCTAATTATTCGAGTTTCACCTGTATATGGAAAACATCTGAGATACTTAGTTACAATTGTATATCGCAGCTGAAGGTGATAAAAACTAGAGGTGCACCGAAATGGAAATTTTAAAACCAAAACAAAACCGAAATAAAAAAAATTGCCAGGCCGAAACAGATACCGAAAATGTTTTTTTATTTTAATTTTTTCACATTTTTTAAATTTTTTATTTAAATTTTTTTTAATAAACTTTTACATTTTTTTACATTTATTTATGAATACATTTATTTTTTACTTTACTATTAGGGGTCTAAACAGACCCCTGATATTTTCTTTTTAAAATAGGAAAAGAGATTGAGGACACAAAGTCCTCAATCTCTTTTTCTGCAGACTCTGTTATCAATGAACAGGAATCCTATATACTGAGTTTTCCTGTTCATTCATAACATGAGGACAGAGTATGTTTACTATAACTACAACTATGAATGAATAGGAGGGGATGTAGATCACTCCCATTCATTCATAATTGAGGATATAGTACACTTAGCATGTCCTCAATTATGTACACACACTCAGTGATCACTGAGTGTTTGTACCTTGCTCTCCTCTGACACGCTGTCACAGGAGGCTGAGCGAGCCCAGCCTCCTGTCTCCGCCCACACACCGCTCTGTCGGACTGTGATAGGAGGCTGTGGGATGAGAGACATCTGCCGCTCACTGCGCTCTCCTCCCGCAGCGCTTGGCCGGCTGTCACAGTTTCTCTCCTCCCCGCTGTGACACAGAGCAGCCCCCAGCGGGGAGGAAAGAAAGCAGGGATGCGCCGATGTATCAGCAGGAAAATGGCACTTACGGCATTACAAAAGTGCAATTTTCGGTCGCTATATCGCTGCATCCCGAATAAAAACTTGTTGCGAATGCCATGGTATGCTGTCTTATAAAAATTTAGATCAAAATTATATTTCTGAAACTGATATCTTTGTAATGATTTCATTTTCTAGGATACTGAAAAATATCGCGCAGACTACAATAAACTGCGTTATGAAACAAGTATTCTTGCAGCTCAGCTTGAGCAACAGAAAGAGGAGCAGACTCGTGTTTTAGCAGAGCAGAAGATCAAGTATGAAGCTGAGGTATGAAAATCCCTTTCTCCTAAATACAGAAAATAATCTTCATTAACCTATACATGGAAAGTGATTAGGTAATTATTGAAAATCTATTCATATATCTCCTAATTAGTAGTGGTGAACTTGCATAGATATTTGGGGGGAAAAACCCATTACTAGCAAGATGGCAATATCTTATTATCTGAAACAAGAAATGAAAACCAACACACAATATTAGGCATTGTAGAGATGTGATCTAAATCTTGCTTGCTTGGTTGGAACAACCAATGCCTCCCGAGCTAGTGGTACAGCTGCAAATCTGGCAACAAAAAAGTTTCCACTTTTCACACACACTGAGAGATCATCATGTCTTGCTCATAGAGAAGAGGCATGACAAGGACATTACAACCTAAAGGGGCTTAATGGCATACTGATTCTGTTACTGTCTATGACAACATTAGAGACAACTGTGAACATTTCTCTGTGGTTTCCAACTGATCATGATTCCCAGACCTCTAGGCAAAGGCAGATGTTTGGTAAAGAGAATCTGTCACTTTGCCTAGGGCAAAGTAATAGTCTTTGGAAAGCTTCCCCCTTGAGATGCTTACCCCTCAACATGCTTTAGTCACCTGTTGAAACTGTAGGTCTAAACCTTGTGTGTTTTCTGTTCGTCTGTGCCAGAGCTTACAGAGGATTATTTACAAGCTTCCCTGCCTCACTTGATGGTGTTTGGGCCTGGTGAGTGACAAGCAAAGAAAAAGAACAAAAAAGCGCACAACCGAAAAGTCCAAGCTGGCAGTGGGGGGTCAAATTAGGGCTGGGAGTGCAGTGCGCAAGCTCTGTATAAACAGGGAGAGGTACCCTGTGATGACAAACCAGAAGACAACCTATATATTGAGAGCGCTACTACTGATAGAATAAATGGTTGAAGCAACACTTACATTTGAGAAGTCCTTGTGAATTCTCTGGAGGAGATGGGATGGGATCCTTGGGGAGGTGGGGCCCGGTGAAATCCAGTGTACAGGACGGCTGAGGGGATGTTATGTGGAGCAGGAGCAGCTGTCTCGCGGCGAGGCTCAGCTGGCCAGGCTGAGCCACGGCGGGCAGGAAAGCTTAATGGAGGGCTGTGGTGTGGCGCGTGTTGTCAGCGGTCGTCTCCCAGTCAGAAGTGGTAGGAGACGTGACAGTACTGGAGATGAGGGAATGCTCTCCAAGTGTCACAGTGAAGGGCTGCAAGAACCGTTGTCGGTGGTGTGTAGGGGATGGTTTGCTACGCGTTTCGAGGCATACGCCTCTTTGTCAAGCTCGGATGAAGAACGGAAATGCGGGAAACATACGGGTTTAAAAAATGACAGCTGGGCGGAGTCAGCGTCAGTCGTGCTGACCTGATAGGTCGAGTGATATGATGGGGCGGCTGGAATATAGGAGCACGCCCCGTAAGCATAACGGGCCGTCCTTCGCTCGTATTCTGCAGTTTGCATCTCGTATACTGTCCTACGGGGTGCAATGGGTTATGGAAATCCACTATGTAAAAAGAGGGATTATAAGTTTTGGGACTGGATGTGGATATTAAAAACGAGAGACCTCAGTCTTTATTGTATTCTATATTTATTTAAAATTTGATTTGAGAGACAGGTGGATGGAAAACGGGGGGTAGTTAGATACAAAAAAGAATGCAGCTGTTATTGATGCATTCCGTGTGATAAAAAGTTGCGTCCCCTGTAAAAGGGAGAGTAAAAGAATAAAAGAATAAAACGTTTAACACCAATTGTGGTGTAGGTATATTGACCTCTGAAAGGTGGTGGCTGACCGATATGTGTTGTATACTTTTATAGAATCGTATGAATTTCTAATTCCTCGTTGAGACCTATCGGGACCAAAGTGTTCAATTTGTATATCCAATAAGTTTCTCTTCTGCAAAGAAGATGAAACCTTTCAGAGGGGGATAGTTGATTCGAAATATGTTCGATGGCAAACACTAGGAGATTTTGGGTGTTTTTATTGTGTTTTAAAGTAAAGTGACGAGGTACACTATGTTCGGTATCACCTTTCTCTATTAGACGTCTATGGTCCACAATTCTTGCCCTTAGGGGTCTTATTGTGCGGCCAACATACATCAGTCCGCAGGGACACTTCAGTCCATATACCACATGGTCATGTGAGCATGTTATGAATTGCTTGATGTCGTATGAAGAATTAAGATGGTCGTGAAATTTTGTTTGACCATGGTGGATAAACTGACATGTCAAGCATCTGGGTTTTTTACACTGGAAAATACCAGTTCTATTGTCGAATAAAAAATGTTTGGGACAGGCTTCCGGGCCTTGGAAGGATCGGCTAGGGCCTATCAAGCTTTTGACGTTCCTGGACCTCCTAAAGTAAATAGAGGGGTTGGGCGGTAGGTGTGGACCCAGTTTAGGGTCTTTTTGCAGAATGTGCCAATGTTTTCGTATAACTTTCTGTATGGCTGTAAACCCATTATTAAAGGTGGTAATGAAACGTATTTTGTGAGTGGGCCTGGTGAGTGGTTGCTTAGGCTTGAGCAATGCATCCTGAAAGGAAGGGGATGAGGTTCCCTATACCCATAAGTAGGGATGCACTGATACTAGTACTGATACTACAAATGCTCCGATACTTACCCCCGGAACTACTGGTCAGAGGGAGATTTCCTTTGACCAGCAATGACGCGAGGGAACATGAAGCTATCTTCCCGGCCAATCAGGAAGGCGGGCGTCAAGTAATGACTCACCTCCCGGCTTCCTGATTGGCCAGGAAGCTGGCTCCATGTATTTTGGCTGACTCGATGCTGATTGGCTGAGAAGCCGGCCAATCAGCATCCAGCCAGCCAAACCGCATGGAGCCGTCTTCCTGGGCAATCAAGAAGCCAGGTGGCGGGTAATGACACACCATCCGGCTTCCTGGAGGCTGCATGCTGCAACGGAAATACCCGTATCGGTACTCGGTATTGACGAGTTCCAAAATAATATATTCGGGTACTCGATACCAAAAAACGGTATCTGCACGGGCACCATCACATCATTAACTCAGTCGTCCCCAACAGGGAACCGCAGCGGTGAGGGACCTGGTGGGGTGGCTTAGGTGAATATATATGACTCCACAAGGTAAAACTCTTCTCAACCTTTTTTCAGTCGCAGCACCTTTTTAAAAGTATGCAAATTCTGGAGGCACCCCAGTTAAAAATGTACAAAAAGTAAATGTAAAAAAGCATGTGTGGGCCCTCCAAAATTTATACCACACCCTTATCCTAGATAGGAGTCTTGTATGGATTTTAAGGGGGGACACAATGCAAAAACACAACAAAAGCTGTTTCCTTCAGAGTCCCCATTTCACATCACCAGTCCCCCTTTACATGGGAAGCCAACCCCCCCTTCATGTCAGAAGTCACCCCCCCCACCTTTTTACATCAGAATTCACCCTTCACATCAGAAGCAGACCCTGGTTGAGAAAGGCTGATCTATACAATCTCCTTTAGATTTGCCAGCAACTTTGTAGTGTAGAGGACCTAACTTGACAAGCTGTACAAATTGCATTTAGTCAGGTAACGCTTGTAAAACATAGTTGTTGGCGAATCAAAATGAGATTGTAAGTCATATTCCAGCATGTGTGTGATCAGCTTTGATCAGTAATTGCTTAACCAGTTGACATCCGCGGTGTTAAACCCCCTTCCCATCCAGGCCATTTTTCAGTATTCAGCGCTGCGGTACTTTGACTGACATTTATTCCGTCATGCAACGCTGTACTGAAATGAATTTTATACCCTTTTTTGGGGACACATAGAAAACCGATCGGCGACTATAGAGCCGCTGATCGGTTGTATGTGAAACAGCCATTAACGGCTGTAGTAACGAGCGGGTCATTCCTGCCCGTGCGCGCGCGAGCAGGAAAAAAAATGCCGTCTGGCGACGGCAACCTGCGGATGCGAGTCTGCCGTCCGTCCGTCTTTTCTTAACGGGCGGACGGCAAGAGGTTAAAACAACACTCCTAATGTGATTTTTTGAGACTAGATTGATTACAGATCTCTTGTGAATATTTTGTTCTCATTGCTTGATGCAGCTGGAAATCAAGGGATCTGTGCATTTTCATGCCATTAAATTAAACACAATTTTAGAGATTACATAGAACCAGTGACCCCAGGCCCTGTCCCCAAAGGGACTTTAAAGCCTTTGCCCTTACTGAACACCTTCTATATCCTAGGACATTTATGCCTATGGATCATTGAGTAAGTATGTGAGCAGCACTGCCTTGTGTTTTTTTTTTTTTTTTATTGGCTAAAATTTCCCAATACATGTTTTGATGCATCCATTCTGTGTCCAGTTCACTCCTTTTCAGATTGTTATACTGTAATATGTGTTTTGTTTGACAATTGAGCTTCTTAAGTGAGCTATCTGTATTTTTTGTTTCTCCAGATATACATAGTAAAATGACAGCACATTAGAATGCTGAGTAGAGTGTGGGTGTCTGGGTATTAATAGAACTTCTAATAATGTTACAGTATTGTATGCTTAATTACTTTTGTAGATCTCACAGCTAGAAAAAGATAAAGAAGAACTTCAAAATCAGATAATAAGTGTTGATCCCACAAGAGATAGCAAACGTGTAGAGACGCTCTTGGGAGAAAAAGTCCAATTATGCCAAATGATAAAAGATTTAAAGGCTGAGGTGACAGAACTTCGAGCATCTAGAGACCATTATGGATCACAAGCAGAAAATGTACAAAGATCCCAAAAGCAACTGTTTGCCGAGACCCAGGCAACTATCCGATCCCTTGAGGTAAAGATCTACAGGATACAAATATTAAGTTGGTTTTGTTGACATTGCATGATGATGTCCTACTATGTATTCACTGTTTTGTATTCGTATCAGATACTTGTCATATATTTTGGGATATGTTAAAGGGAAATTAAAATGGTGTGGGTTGCTTTTTATTTACAAAAAAGCGTCATCTTTCTTTTTCAAGTGTACATGTAAACCCAATCACTAATATTTGATATAAACTTTTAACATGCTAATATAATTTCAAAAGTCATTTTCAAACTTAAATTTGAGGCTTTCATTAAAATAATACCTGGTAATCCTGCCATGAAGGTCAATGTTCAGGCCCTTCCTGTTACAGTGAGACAATGTTTTGTCCCTGTCTACCAATTATGCACCTGCATTGTCATATTGTCACATGGACTTCCAGTAGAGACTACAAGTAGCCATTTAAATACCCATTACAAAGGAATGTTCCACTGTTACCATTAACAAACCTACCCTGAGAAATGCCTTAAAGTCATTGGTAAATTGCAAGTTTATAGAAAAAAAAAAGTGGCTGCAGGATACAAGCAGCACTGAGATGCAACAACAGATGCAAAAGGGTTCAAAGAAGTATTTTCTTAAAAAAAGAAAATGTGCATTATATGCATTGATTTAGAAAACAAAATATAATTTAAGTAGGGTTTGTGTCCAAGTGATTTCTAGCACACTATAGGTTTTCTAAAGAACCCAGCCTCTGTCTCTATTTGCCTTTCTGTCTCTAGTTGAAACCTACAGAGTGAGAGGGAGGAGCCACTGCTCTGACTTTCATATGTGTGTGTATGTGTATATTACAGCTTGAGCTACTGGGCTCTCTAAAAAATAAAATTAAAAAATCTTCTTTCAGCAAAGCGTGTAAGGATACACAGCTAAACATCTGCTGACTGACTATGTAAAGAAAAATGTCTATAGGCAATATTTTCACCTTACCTGACTGAAAATGTGTATTTTAAATGTGACAATAATAACAAAATAAAAACATAATACAGTAAATTCCCAGTTATCCTGCACTCACGGGGATCGGTAGTTTCTGCTTGCTTGAGAGTTGATAGTAACTCTCAAGCAACCACCCCGTGGCACCCCAGCACCATATCCCCCCCCATGCCGCAGCCCCAGCCCCATTCACCTTACATCTTGCTGCCAGTCGAGTCGGTGGCTAAATTCCATGGTTGGCAGCAGAATTTAAACAATGGGGAGCAATAGCATGCCTGCTATTGGCCATTTAAAATTGCAATAGCAGGCTGGCTATTGAATGCCAGCCCACTGAGCAGAGGAGCAGACCTGAGCAAGTTCTCTCTCAGGTCCGCTCCTCTGCTCAGTGAGCGGGTTCAATATCCAGCCTGCTATTGCAATTTGAAATAGACAGTAACAGGCTGGCTATTGCTTCCCATTGTTTACATTCTGTTGCCAAACGCAGAATCTAGCCACAGTTGAATCATTTGGCCAAAGGTAAATCGTTGATATACCTGTCTCTCCGTCTTTAGCTGCTATTGTTTTTTTTTTGTGAGTTTAGATGTCTATTCATCTTTTCTAGGCAGAGAAGCAGTCTTTAAAACTGAGCCAGGAACGACTAGAAAATGAGCTTCACATGACAACAGAACAAAATGACATCTTAAATAAAAAACTGCTGGAAGTGGAGAGAAAGGTTCATACACTCACTAGCAAAGTAAGTACCGTATATACTCGAGTATAATCCGTCCCGAATATAAGCCGAGGTACATTCAGCAAAAAAAATGGGCTGAAAAACTCGGCTTATACTCGAGTATATACGGTAATGTATTTCTTTTAATAATAAAATCTAACTCTTTAATGTGACACTAAACTCAGGAGTTAAACCTTAAAAATGAATTCAAGTACTTTAACCACTTGAAGACCGCGGTGTTTCACCCCCTTCCTGGCCAGGCCATTTTTCAGTGTTCAGCGCTGCAGTACTTTGACTGACGTTTATTCCGTCATGCAACGCTGTACTGAAATGAATTTTATACCATTTTTTGGGGACAGATAGAGCTTTCTTTTGGTATTTAATCACCACTGGGGTTTTTATTTTTTACTA